TCTTGATGATTTTCTGCATTCTGTTTGCCATTATTGAGGATTTTTACATCTTTGTTCATTGGGGAGATTGGCCTGTTGTTCTCTTTTTTTGGTTGGATCTTGCTCTGCTTTTGGTATCAGGGTAATGAATTTCAGAGTACTGCTTCCCTTTCAATTTCATTAAAGAGTTTGAGAAGTAGCACCATTAGGTCTTCTCTAAAATTTCTTGTAGAATTCAGTAGTGAATCCACCAAGACCCAGGCTTTTCTTTGTTGGTAGTGTTTAATTACATCTTCAATTTCATTAACTGATATTGGTTTATTTAGAATTTATATATCTTTTTAATTCAGCTTTGGTAATTCATATGTATCAAGAATCTGTATTCTAGATTTCTGCAGGATTGATTGTGAGTTCATCCTTTTCATTCTTAATTGCATGGATTTGAGTCTTTTCCTTCCTTTTTTGATAAGATTGGCTAAAGGTTTGTCAAGTTTATATAGTCTTTCAAAGAACCAACTATTTGATTCATTGATTCTTTTTATTTCTTGGTCTTTGTTGTATTAACATCTGCTCTGATCTTCATAATTTCCTTCCTTATATGAGCTTTAGGCTTGACTTCTCTCTCTAGAAGCTTGAAGTTCAACATTAGGTTGTTTGCACTTGCTCTGTTTTTCTGATATGGGAATTCACTGCTATAAATTTCCTTCATAGGACTGTTTTTATTGTGTCCCATAATGTCTGGTATGTTGTATTGCCATTATCATTTAAATTGTCTCATGTCTTTGATTTCATCTGTGACACATTTTCAGGAGGGTATTGTTTAATTTCCATGTGTTATGAAGTTTTTGTTGTTTCTTTTGCCATTGATTTCCAATTTTATTGTACTATGATCTGATAGTATGCATGGGATAATTTCATTTCTTAAGCATATTCTGTGAGCTAGTATGTGGTCTGTTTTGGAAAATTTCCCATGTGCAGCTGAGAAGAATGTTTATTCTGATATTCTGGGAAAGAACACTCTAGATATCTACTAAGTCCATTTGTTCAAAATTTTGGTTCAGTTGATATTTCTTTAATGTTTGTGTCTAGTTGATTAGTCTATTTGTGACAGTGGGGGACTGAAGTCCCTCATTATAAATGTATTAGTGTTTATTTGATTTTTCATGTCCATTAATATTTGTTTCATGTAGTTGGGTACAGTGGTATTTGGTGTGTATGTATTTATGATTGTTATCTGTTTCTCTTGGATTGTTCCCTTGACAAAGATGTAGTGACCTTCCTTGTCTCTGTTAATCAGTCTTGGCTTGAAATCCACTTTGTCTGCAAATAGAATAGGTACCCATGCCTTTTTTCTGGTTTCCTGTTGCATAAAGTATTGTTGTCCATCATCTGACTTTCAGTCTATGAATTTCTTTTTTAATTAAATATATTTCTTGTAGGCATTATATTGTTGGATCTTGCTTCTTGACCCATTCGGCCAGTCTGTTTCTTTTGATTGAATTGAGACCATTTACATTAATAGTTGTGATATGTATTGACTTGTCCTTGTCATGTTATTTTTCTGTTGGTTCTGTGTTTTCCCCTCTCTGTTTAATTTCTTGCCTTGCTTGGTGGATTCATTCTGTTTGGTTCATAGAGTTGTAGTCCTCAGTATCTCAGAACGTCCTTCAGAACATTTTGGCATGCTGGTTTAGAGGTCATAAATTTGTTTAGGTGTTGTCATGGAAGTATCTTACTTCTCCATCAATTATGAAAGATAGTTTTTCAAGGTACTCAATATGGGTTGGAGGTGTTTTGGGGTTTTTGTTTATTGTTTTTGTTTTTGCTTCAAATATTTCACTCCAAGCTTTTCTTAACTTGAGGGTTTTGTGTTGAGAAGTCTGCTGTGATTCTGATGGGCTTCCCTTTACATGTAATTTGTTTCTTTTCTCTGACAGCTTTTAATATTCTGTTCTTCTGCTGAATTTCTGGAATCTTGACTATTATTTGCCGTGGTGAAGTTTTTTTATCATAGCTAATTGGATTTCTATATGCCACACTTACCTGTATGTCAAATTCTTTTTCCATGCTTGGTAAGTTTTCTGCCATTACTTCTGTGAACAAAATTTTTATGTCATATGCAGTATCTCCTGCTTTTAAATTGACTGACCTCTGTTCTTATTCTTCTTTGCATCATGTAGCAGCTGTTCAATTGCTTTTTGTGGTCCCTTGCTATTTATAAGAAATCTTTCTTTTCAAGATCACTAATGACAGTCTTATGTTCTGTATCTGATATTCTGTCCTCAAATTGGCTCTCTGCTGCATATACTTTTAATGGAATATTTAATCCCCTAGATATCTGTTTAAATCTGTTTCATGGTTTCCATTTCTTTCCTATGTTGGGCATTCATAATTCCCATCATTTTTCTAAGTGCCTCTATTTTTTTTTTTAATCTGTATATGCTCTAGAGTCACTAACCATGTCTTTCATTATGGTCACCATCTCTGTCATTATCTGAGAGTTTATATCTGATTTAAATTTTTCTAGAGCCTTTTTCATCTGCTTTGTTATTTCTACTGTTAACACTTCAGAGTCCAGGTGAGTGGGTTTCAAATTGTTCCACCTTATTTCCCTATGCATTTGCCTTTGGTGAGCTGCAAGTCTGAGGTTGTGTCTTATATAAGTGTCTTCTCATTTTTTTCTTTCTTTTCTTTTTTTTTTTTTAGTTAAATTCCTGATTTGATGCTTGTAAGCTGCTTATGGCAAGTAGCTTCATTGCTGGTATTTAGAAACCTTAGGAAATGACTACTTCTGAGTGATATCTTCCAAGTGTAGCTTTTGAGTTTTGAGTCTGTTACGAGATCCTACCTCTTCAATTTATTGATGATAAGAAGTTGCTACCTATTTGGCCTAGCCCCTGGTTCTTTGCCATGGCCTACAGTGTTGTATATGACCCTGAGGCCATCTCATTCTTGGAATGCCAGGAAGAACAACTGATTAGAACAGTTATGTCTTCTTGGCTAAAGTAATACCGCCAGCAAGAACAATGGTATCAAATGGAGCCTAGAAAATTACAAACTGAGCTAACTATTAACTTGCCACAAACTATATGAACTAGATTTGTGGTTATATAATAAAATCTAAAGCATCCAGAATATTTTATATAATAAATATATCCTCCATTTTTCAGTTTTTTCTTCAGGTGAGAAAATTTAAAAGGGATTAGGGAAGAAAAATAGAGAAATAGAAAAAGAGAAGAAATTAGAAGTAATGTTAGAGGACAAAGGTAGATTATGCAAACTTTGGGAGACTGGTGAAGAAGACAGAAGGGAAGAAAGAAGGAAGAAATAAAATCAAGACCAAAACAACAAGAATAAAACTAGAAACAATGTTCCCACTTATATAAAAACAAGAGCAGGGCTGGGAATTTAGCTCAGTGGTTCCACTGCCTGCTTCGCAAGCACAAGATCCCAAGTTCAATCCCTGGTACCACCAAAAAATAAATAAATAAATAGAAAAATGTCCACTTCCAGGCATGTCCCTGCTGTTACTGGTAGACATAGTGGGTAGGCAGAACTCAGATCTTAGTTGATTAATCTCAGCAAGTCAGCCTTAGTTTTGTGATGGGGTAATGGATAATCCCAGCAACCTGTACCTTTAGTTCCCCTGAGGTCCAGGAAGATTTCTGGCTGTGAGCCTAGAACCCAATTTGTTTAAGCTGCAATAATCTGTTTGCCTCCTTCCAGCTTTGATTTTAGTTCTTCCTCATTCTAACACTAGGAGCCACTAGATGGTGCCAGCCCACAGCTTCTTTGTTCTCAGCCTCTCTTCAGGATGGCTGGCTGCCAATCATTCTCTCATATGGGGTATCTGAACCCAAATAACTCACCAGCCACTGCAGTCCACTGTGCCCACAGCTCTTTTCCACTGGTGTGTGCTCTGGGATCTCCAGTTATCAGTATGTGTCTGCAGATTCGAGCCTCCCCTCCTATGCACTGAGTCAGGGCTCAAGCAGAAAGCCTTGCTTGTCACCTCCTTCTACAGTGAGGTCTCTTTGTACTCTTCCTGTGAGCTTCAATTCTTGTTTCAGATCCTTGCTGAGTCCTGGAGACCCACTTCCCTCTTCCTGTTACTCACATTGTTCTATTCCAGTGTCTGGACACCAGATCTTGGAGATGCTGTTTCTCTGCTATTCACCTCTCCACCATCTTCCCAGAAGTCCTCAAATGTAATGTTTTAAAAGTACAAGTACATTTAAAACACCAAGAAATATTTTCATATTATCCCTTTCTCATTTAATGAGAACAGAATTTCAGCTGGGCATAGTGTTGCACACCTGTAATTCCATCACTTACAGAGGCTGAGGCAGGAAGTTGCAGGTTTGAGACTCCCAAGCAACTTCATTAGACCATGATTCAAAATACAAAATTAAAAGAAAAGGGTTTGAAGGGAGCCTGGAGATGTAGCTTCAGATGTTCTAGAGTAACCCTAGTTTCAATATTCCATACCAAAAGAGAACAATAGTAATAACAACAAAAAATAGTTTCTTTACATGTATATGATACATCAACAATAAATTTCAATATTATTAAATGCCATTGTTTGGAATTCTGTCCATAACTGATTTATCACTTAAGATGTTCTTATCTCCTAAAAGGACCCAAAAATATATATGTATATTACCAGATGAAGATAAAAGAGATCAAAAACTAAGGATAAAAATCTGAGCTGCTTATAAATATACAGCTCTGACTGTTCTGACATCCAGAGCTAAAAGGGAAACAATGAGTTCTAAAAGTTTAATTTCTGACAAGAGAAAAGCATCTTTTCTGCTGTTATTCTTGTTCAAGAAAACCACAGAATTTTAAATGCAAAACTTAATTATCTTAAATTGGAGATTTCTTTTCCAAATAAAATGTTTATGTTTTGTGTTTTGTTTTATCTTGTTTTTATATATGTTGGAATTAGGAAATGTGCAAGCAAAAAGCTGCTTGGTCATGACATGCTCATGCTAACTTACAGTATTTATATTTTTTTACAGTATACCCCTGATCATGTAGTTGGACCTGGAGCAGACATTGATCCTTCTCAAATGACATTTCCTGGATGCATTTGTGTCAAAACTCCCTGTCTCCCTGGAAGTTGCTCCTGTGTCCACCATGAGGAGACCTATGATGATAATTTGTGCCTTAGAGATACAGGATCAGAGGCACAGTATGCCAAACCTATTTTTGAATGCAATGTCCTGTGCCAGTGTGGTAATCACTGCAGAAACAGAGTGGTCCAGAAGGGTCTCCAGTTCAACCTCCAGGTGTTCAAGACACATAAAAAAGGCTGGGGACTTCGTACTTTGGAACTTATACCAAAAGGAAAGTTTGTCTGTGAATATGCTGGTGAAGTTTTAGGATTCTTCGAAGTACAGAGGAGAATTCACTTACAAACAACAAATGACTCAAATTACATTATAGCCATCAAAGAACATATTTATAATGGACAGATACTGGAAACATATGTTGATCCTACCTATATAGGAAATATTGGAAGATTCCTTAATCATTCTTGTGAGCCAAACCTGTTGATGATTCCTGTTCGAATTGACTCAATGGTTCCTAAATTAGCACTTTTTGCAGCTAAAGACATTTTGCCAGGTGAAGAACTCTCTTATGACTATTCAGGAAGATACCTTAATCTAAGGGACAGTGAAGACACAGAAAGAACAGATAATGGGAAACTAAGGAAACCTTGTTACTGTGGTGCCAAATTGTGTACTGGTTTCTTGCCTTACGACAGTTCATTGTTCTTGGAAAAGCCAAACATCAATTAGGAAGGAAATTCCCTCTCACTGCCTTCCTTAGTGGCCAGGAATAAGAAGGAACCAAGCATGTGTGACCTACCTGCTTCTGGGTTCCCTTCTGCAAGTAATTTTCCAGGTAATCCTGCTATGTGGTAAGCAGTTTGCCCCTCCCTGTCTTGCCTCTGCCTTATTGCATAAATTTAACTCAAGAATGTGGCAGAGACTAAATTGTCCACAAATATCATTTCTCTCCTTCTGTAATAGAATTCTCATTTTGTTCTGGGTATATGACTACCCATAATACTTGCTGGGGTTTTTTTGTTTTTGTTTTTTTGTTGTTGTTGTTTTTTGGGGTTTTTTTTGTTTTGTCTTGGCTTTGGTTTTTTGAGACAGAGTCTCACTATGTAGTTGAGACTGACCTGGAACTCACTACGTAGCCCAGGCTGGTTTTGAACTCACAAATCCTCCTGTGTTTTGTCTTGGCTTTGGTTTTTTGAGACAGAGTCTCACTATGTAGTTGAGACTGACCTGGAACTCACTACGTAGCCCAGGCTGGTTTTGAACTCACAGCAATCCTCCTGCCTCAGCCTCCCGAATGCTGGGATTACAGGCGTGCACCACCACGCCCATCTAATACTTGCTGTTTTAATTAGACTGGCTAAGTGACAAGTGACTTAGGCTCTAGCTAATGAGATATAAGCAGAATTACTATGTCCTTAGTGGAAATAAATTGCCCTTCCTTTTTATGTTTAAGCTGAAATGCATACATGATGGCTAGAACTTGGGTATCAATCCTTATTTATCATTTGTTTCTAAACCTCAGTTGAGGAAAAAGATATGGTAAATTATCACTTCTTAAACCTTAATAATAACCATCAATAATGAAAAATATAACCATAAAATGAGATCTGTGGTATTTTTAATTTATAATTAAGAGTTAGAAAAGGAAACATTGTAAAAATTTTACCATCACTTGGCATTACTCCAAACCTATGCTTCAGAACTTAGACAACCTCACTTCTTCATATATAAATAGTAGATATACCCTGTCAACACCACAGAAGGAGTTGAGAGTTTTATAATCCCATTTAAACTCTGCAGTAGGAAAGGTTTCTACCTGGCTTCCTTAAAGCAAGGATGTTGCAAAAATATACTTTCTGTGGATGTTAGACATTTTCAAAGAAAAAAATTGAGTCCCTATAGAATTCTTTAATAAACAATTCCATTTTTTCTGTAATAAAGTTAAGCCCTGAGGTTTTGCACTTAAAATTAAACCATATCCTAAGTATATTAGTGTGTGCTTTGAGTGAATAAAATGTATGGTATGTGAATTATGCTTCAATAAGAGTGGGTTTTTTAGAGGATGTTAGGATTTATATGTTCATATAACATTATCAGGTATGATTCTTGAACAAAAGATAGAGTACTCATAAAATGCCCCAAACCACTGATACACAGTGTCAGAATATTCCTTCAAGCCCATTATTTTTCCTTGGCAACCTTCCAATTACTTTGATTTTTCTGAAACTGTCCAAGTGTTTTAAATTTCATATAAATACATTTTTACATAAAATTATAGGTGCTTAAGGCCAATTCTTAAGAACTGAACTCGGGACCTTGCACTTGTGAGGCAGGTGGCAAAACCACTGAGCTAAATCACCAGCCCAACCAATTCATTTTTAGAGGCATACTTTAAAAAAAAATAAAATTTCAAAATTTTAACAGAGGAGAATGTCTTGCTCGTTATTTCATTGCCCTCTTTCTAGAAATATAAAACTCATCAAACTACATTTTGTTTTATGAGTCTTAAGATTATTTTATGATAATAAACTGAAACTCAACTGTTACAGGGTTACACTTTCAAAATAGTCCAGTTGAATTTTTAATGAAAAATGCCTGTCAGCCACCAAGTTGGGTTTAAGGCTATTCTAGAAAGTCTGTCCTGGATCTTGAAAAGAGCATTGATACCAGGGGTATCTAGTGTACAAATGGTGGTCACTTTCCTCTAGGGATTTCTGTAAACATAAGAACTAATCTGGTTTCTGAGCTCCTTTTAGCCTCTGAGTGTTGTGTTGACCCCATTATTCAGGAGCCAGTTCATTTATCATTTGCTCCCAGCATGCCAATTTCTGTCCATTTACTACATGTCACTTTTATTGGAATATGTTTGCAGTACATAATAATTACATTCATCCAATCCAACTTTGTGTAAGGCAATTTGTACCCCTCATTCCAAAATGGCCTTTCTCACAAGTTCTAACAACTGAGCTACTTCAGAAACAATAAGGAAATGGTCAGAATGGAAATGTTTGACTCACTGGTTCTGTAACTATACTTTCCTGTAGAGAATGAGGAAAGGGACATTACCAGGATCTCTGCCATGGTTCCTGGCCTGTGAGCCACCACAGCACAAGACAAAGTCAAGAACAGACAGAAATGAGACTTAAAGTGGAGAAGCTGAGTCTTGGGTCCTGGTCAGTGCCAAAGACAAAGGCCTCAACTACATCCAGTGTTTATTACATGCAGTCATCAGAAGGAATAGGGAGCAGAGTATGCTTTGAAGGCATCTAGTGAAATATTGCCAAACACCTGGCCTGATGGCACCAGACAGGGCTGTTAGGGAGTAAGCACTGTTTATCTTGCTTGGATAGAACAAGCTGGTACTGGGACTGGGTGCAATTATCACACAACCCGTCAGGTTAACAAGAAGCCATAATTCAGGGGAAAGATTTAATTGGGGTCATGCTGACTTCAGCTGCATATAAATCAGCAGAGCCCATGTCACTTTACATATCAGGGCCAGGTTTCCATGGCAGCCATTGGTCAGGGGGCTATACTTGCCCAGTCCACCAGCTGACATGACCATTTGAGTCATATGGAGCTTCAGTCTGACTTCTGATGTAAGACAGTATAGCTGAATTATGGAAAGCAAGAAGCAGATGCCACTCATAAAGCTCGAATACTGGGCAGGGATATCTGCCTCATTTTCTCACTTCCTTTCATTCTTCTTTATTGAATGTCAAAGTTGATGATTCAGGGATATTCATAGATGACAGTTTTCCAAGCAAAAATGTACATAAGTAGCAATCTCCATCTTGGTGCCTCTGCTAGAAGGAAAACAGACTGAAGACTAATGGAAATTTTTTCTTCGTGCACTAGTTTATTTATTTATTTTTTTTTTGTACCAG